CGATGCCGAAAGAAAAGCAGTTACTCTGTGACAACTGAAATATAAACAATGGCATGTAAGAATAATAAGAAAATACAACAAAAGTTGGAACAACCGAAATGGTAATAAAAATAACTTTGAGAAAATAAGGGAATATAATAATAACACCATTGCTAGCGACCAAAATACAAACAGTGTTGCTAATTAAAATACACATTTTTGAGCGAAACGTAGTGCTTTTGAATTTAAGGCTAGGTTTATGAACTAGCGGTTTCGCGTCGCGCGATGAGATTAAAATTATAAAATTTCATATACTAGTGGTGTTTATGGTGCAGGAGATTTATACTGACATAACAATTTGTGTAATTGATAGCTGGTAGCGATTTTGATCTCATCGCGCGTTGCGAAATCGCTAGGCCATAAACGTAGCCTAGTCGAGAAAAAGTAGCCACAACCGGTCAGCGTGGGTTAACGATTCTGAACCGAAGTGGTGCCATGCGTATATACTACGATATATCTAACTTATTTATAGGCCGATTTGGCTGCTATTTATAATAAATGTATACTGGTTATGTAAGCAGAAACATTTTTGCCAAAAATGGTCTCGTTGTGTGGCGCCAGGGTCGAGATATTTTTGCAAATTTCGAGATGCAGTGTATCCACCATAAACTCTAGCGCGGATTTTGCTTTACCTTATTAATTTTACATTTAAAGAGAGCTGGAAGTAAAACTTTCCAGACAAATTTTGCGAAAAAATTATTCAATTCAAATATCTGAAATTACAGACTTTACTAGTGTGTAAAGTATTATTAGTTCAATGATATTAGTGCTATAGCAACGAAATATATACATCTTATTTTGGTTTTAAAAATTTTTTCAGCACTTAAAATTATAAAATTCGTTGTTTTTTTAGAATTGCCGAAAATGTAAAAACAACCTTACGTCAAAAAGTGCTCAACCTTAAAAAAAAATGTAGCTCTTCATTTTAGCTAGTATTAGTATTATTTAGCTCTTTTTAGCTCTTTTTTGCGACCGTTTTAGCTCCAAACGAAAAATTTCTCTGGCAACACTGATTTTGTCATACGAGCGTCACGTAACGCCAGGTTGGGAAGTTTATGTCATCTTTTACGAACAACTTATTCTCTTTATCAAGCTTAGTATTTGTATGACGAAATCTTCAAAATCGTAAATTTTGGATATATGTATTATTAAACGTGCGAAATCTTTCCATCTATCTTTTGATATACCAATTGTCTAAACTGGACAAATTTTGATTGCGTTTTCCCACAAAATTAAAATTTTGAAATAATTCTATATATTATTAAGCGTGCGATGTGTACATACACTAGTGTAGGAGTTTAGTTAGAGTAATTGTTCTTTTGTATTTTTCAATTTTGAGTTTCTTTCTTTTTCACCGATTTAATGTTTTGTTGACTAGCTTTTATTCTATTTTTGCACATAACTATTTACAATGTACACTATAGTGGTTCGAAAAAATTTTATTTTTAAATTCATAAACGGTACCTCCAATTTTTGTTATTTGTGATAAAAAAAAGAGAAACGTATTATTTTGATTTAAAAAAAGATTTTTAAGAGCTCGCTATGGTCGGTTTTTCATAAAAACGCTAATGTTGTAAATTTTTTTATTTTCCCTGATTACGAATCTGATGCCAGATTTTCAAAATTCAAAATAGCGGATCCGAGTTTCAAACCAATCCAATCATTTTTTTTCTAAGTTGTTCGCCATTTGGGTCCACCATTTTGAAATTTGAAAAACTGATATCAGATGCGTGATCAGCGACCCCAGATACGACCCCTGGTAACGAGCTTTAACCCATGCCAATGCTTAAAGCGTCTTGTATCAACTTTTTAATTTTTAGACATCTCTTTTTGAAAGCATATTTTCGGGCACTAGGAACATTTTAACGGTTTAGGACAGATATGTAATCAATGGAATATTCCCCAATAATACCTGGGCCTGAATTGCAGCATTCGATATGGAACGTAACTCGAATCGATGCTGGTGTGCATCGCCCATTTAACTTGGAGAAAACAGCTGCCATTTCTTAAATTCGATTCGAAAATAGTAGTTACTCGATAATAAAAATTGAGAACACCAGCGTGTTCTTTTTTTTTCAAACTAAAAAAAATACGTGTCTCTCTTTTATCACAAAGAACACTATTTTGATGTAGCGCTTAGGAAATTGCAAAAATAGTAGTGGTATTCACCAAATGTAGCAAGTGGCCTGGCAGTCTGGCAAAAGAGCAGATCAGCTCAATTCGGTGAATACCGCTAATGTTTTTTTGAACTACTCTAATGTACACATTGTGGTGGTTGTTCACGCTTGCTTGGTTATCAGGTTATCTGAATAAAAATAATTTTTCTGTAGTGTACTTTATTGTTGTACAACACAACAACAAGATGCACTGCAGAAAAATTATTTTTAACCAGATAAGCTGATAACCACGCATACATACATGCATACATACATACATACAATATGTCACTGGAAGGTACTCACCGCACCGAAATACTTCATCTCTTTCTTCATGCGCCGATGATGGGAAGTGCCCGGCGCGCCTGCGACTGCCGCCGCTGCTGCTGCAACCGCTGCACTTGTCGATGGCTGGGCCGCCGTTGCTGTCGCGGTTTCGTACGTGCTAAGACCGTTAAGAGTTGACGCGGCAGCCGCTGTATGGCCGTTTGTGCTCGATCTGCTCGATGATGAACCACCTCCGCCACCAGCACCACCTCCCGCTTCCATAAAATCAAATCTCTTGAACGCGTACCACTTGGATGGGTTAGGCTGGATGCCCTGATATAGTTTGACAAGCATTTTATGCTTCTCCCGTCGATATTGCGTGAGTAATACGTTCATCTTTCGCTCCACCTCGGCCTTACTACATCCAAAACGATCCGCTATCTCCGACCACGCTCGAAAACGGCATAACTTGTCTTTGTACTTTGGATCGGCACGATTCCACAATTCTGTGTGAATGCGATACTGTTCGATAAGTTCTAACGCATCGTCGTTGGTCCATTCCATGACTTTGTTGCCACCGATTACCATGTGCTGATGCGCGGCCAGATTGAAATTTATTGGCGTCAACAAATCGGTTGATGATTCCTGCTGCTGCTGCATCAGCGTGGCACGGGCAACGGTGTACGATGAGATGGCGCAATTAGATTTTTTGGGTATTGCAAATGTATTCGAATTGAATTCGGTAAAATTTTTCTACTTATCGCCAACTGTGATTGGGACTTAAGTAGTAGTTTAACTTCAGGGAATGTGCTCGAAAATGCAAAAGTTCATTTTTTGTCGTTCAAAGGTCCTAGATTTCTATTGTGTCTCATTTTGCCAAAGTCCATTATTTATATATATGCATCTGTACTATGTATGCATACAGCAGGTAAGAGATATGTATGTAGTTGCCATATTCAAGGATTGCTGTTATCAGTTACTTCAGTTATACACATATAGAAGCATTTCTAGTGATAAACATACATATGTGTGTATGTATGTATTTACATTAGTATGGCCGGTAACTATTGGGAAAAAATGCTGGAAGAAAATTTTAATTTTTGTTGGGTCGTCGTAGCCACTAGACTGCTAAATATTTCTGAAGAAATGAGGCAAAATTGATAACTCTAAGGCGTGTGTTGTTTATGCACTAACTTCTCTTTGTGGTTCTTTCCGTTATGAAGGTTTTGAGATACATATGTATTGCCAAAAAAACAGTTTTCTAAAATAAAAAGAGGTCAAAGTTTCAACTGATAATACGCATCTGCAGAATCCGTTAACAGATCAATCTATAAGATATATCAAATTAACGGTTATTAAATTTACTTTTTAATTTATACTCTATTTTTTATTACTTTAGGTGCAATACTTGTAATCAAACATCTTTTATACGCAAATGACCAATTTTATATTTTTGCAAAAACTATTTTTTGGTGATATGTATTCCAAAATCTAAATGACGCAAACAAAAATGTATACAGTATCGTACTCGGCGACCAATTTTACCTAGGAAATGGATGCTTTAATAGATTTTTAAGCTGTATTAAACTATGGAAACATGATGAACCTTGACTTGTTACAGTTACGCCTCAACGTTACCCAATCGACGTGCAATTTTATAATAATTATTGTTTCATATGCATGAAAATATTTACTAACGCAGATAGTGCGACCATCGCGTCATTTGAAAACCAACGGCCATCCTAATGCGCATATACATAAATACAAAGATATCACTCGATCCTCGAAAGTTTATTTAGTTAAAAATCCCTGTTTGTGAAATATGTAGTATGTAGGTACAAAAACATTTCCGACGCTTTATTTACTTAATCACATGGAATAAGAGTGGCTTTGCTGAAGATTCTGTCACAAAAATAAATAAAATAAAATATTACTTCAGCTTCTGCTAAATGCGTAATATCAAAAATGACAAATTTTGAATTAATACACGGTTATCAATATAATAGATACAGTAGAATCTCGAAAAAGTTAACCAAATTATTTACTTTTCTAAGCGCTTTTCAAAATTTAAAAAAATTTAATAAGTAAACATTGTTCTTAGGCAATAACACGCTAAATTTATTTCATTGACTTAGTTTTCACCATTACGAAAAAGAAACTTGGATTTAATTTGTAGCAGAATATGGAGAGTTTTCTTGTTCGCTTCTTCAGATGTGCTCGCCACTGCCTCCAAAATTTCATGACGTTTTTCTTTATTATTGAGATGCCTGCTTTACATAGTAGATACACCATAATCCGACGCTAATCGATTTCCGTAAATACCTCGATAATTTTTTTTTTCAATTCCAGCTTTTTGATGTAGATTTAAGGTATCCAAACGGCTATGCGTTTCTGTCGGTGCGAATCTGTTTCGACAAACTTAACATTAATGCCGACCATAGTTTTGAATGAGGAAGCACACACTTATACGATTTTGTTGCAGCGATTTATTCGAACATTCACTGTTCTTCTTTTCGCAGCCTGGTATGTTTTGAGAACTAAAAGGTCAATAGGCCGATTTTTTTTTAAATTAAAACAAAAATTAACACAAGAAAAAAAAACATGCTTAGTTTTTGGTTGGAAAATATTTTTTGTTTGTTTATAAAATGACATTTTTCACTGCTATAGAATCGCACAAATGTGTGCGTTCTTGCGTTTTCGAAGTAGTAAACTCTGTTGCATCAAAAACGGTGCGAATTCACCCGACGGAATCCCACAGGTGTTTGTATGCGTTTAATCTGATATGCGATGACTTTTTCCTCTTTATTGACATTTTTTTAACACACAAACAATACACATCTCACAAATTCAAACGCTCATGAAAAAAAACAAAAAAAATGCGATCAGGCTTGTTTTTGTTGCCAAACAAAGGGCTGGTTTGAAAAATGTACAAGCTCAGAAAAGTTAACATTTTAGAGCGGTACGTGAGCACTGAAATTCGGTTAAGTTCGACGAGTGATTTCGCAAACTAACTTTTCCGTGATTCTACTGTAGTTTTAAAAACCGCTAAATTCAAATTCTGTACATAGGAAGTGAGAGGCTGCCTTAAGTGGAAATTAATTTTAACTGAATTTTTTTTTAAATTCACAATTAAATTTCTTTAGTTAAGTGAGTAAAAATATGGCAGCACCGTGCTAAAAGTGGTAGTCAAAGCGGGGCTGGTATAGAAGTAAACAGCAGATACACACAATATTGTGGTGTGTGCATATCGATCAGCTGATTAAACGTGTAACATCTCTGGGTGTGGTTTGGTTATTCTGATTTAATTTGTATTTAAGGGAAGAGCACTAAAATCGATATTAAAATTGATTGGTGTAACCAAAAACACGAAAATAAAAACAAATTTTAATTAAATGAAGCTGTTGATGAAACGCAGCCTAAATTTAGATAAATAAATTCAAGTACCTACGTTCGTTCACGATGAAACCGGTTTGTCTAGAAACCAAATTTGACAAGGGATGACGGAAAATCGTCCCACAATACATCATTTTCCTACCCTGTCGAAAACACAAACAACCAAAACAGAAATTCAAGTACCCATAATTAGGTTCGCGTTAAAGAGACTTTACAGTACTTTAGAGTGCGGATTTCATATGCATGTATGTATGTATGTATGTATGTATGTATGTATGTAAGCATATGAATTCAAGCGGCAGGTGTACTTCGAGCTCGGAGTACAAAAATCCCCGCGTAGTTAAAGAAGCCCATTACTCAGCTCAGCTGCGCGGGATCGTCGCACCGATTCCGAAGAAAACAACTTTGCCAAAAAGGTGACACATTCGCAGTTCGACGAAAAACGTTTCTGTTTATGAATACATATGTATGCGATAGATACGGACGGGTATCTATCTATCGGGTAAGTTTGAATATATTTCTCTGTTTCCATTAAAACATTCCTTTCCAATTATTTTCTCTCTTTCTTTGTTTGTTATTTTGCTCCTACGTATTAAAAAAATTGTTCTTCCGTCGTTCGTATTTGTTCATATTACACATATAAATATATGTATGCATGTATATGGATGTGTGCATATGTGTATGTATGCATGTACAGAGAATGTGTTTATAAATAAGTAATTTTTATTTTTATTCACTGTAAGAATAACCAAGCATTGTTATTTGCCACTCTGTTTTGTTTGTGTTTGTTTTGTTTGGTTTGGTTTTTAGTTAGCTGCGCATTTGTACGTTTTCGTATATTATTTGGTACCTACATACATAGGTACATACATACATACATATGTATGTATGAACATAGGTTTGTGCTTGGTGAATTTTCGCGCAAATTCCGTTTGTCTAGCGGGCATACCTACTACTTAAGAAACTTGTATGTATATACATATGTACATATGCTGATATGATGAATTGGGAATCGTACAAATTAAATTGACCATACAAATCGTAACCGGAAGTGCGGAAATACATATGTATGTATGTATATGTATACAGATCGTCGTTTAACATATGCAAAACCTATAATGTGCAGTTACCTCAAAATTTTTCAAGACGGAGGACAATACTGTTGTTATTTTATGAAACACAAACTCACTCGACGTATATTTTGTATTACATATCTTATTTATCCAAATACCTATTATTTTTAATGAGTACGAGTACCTAGAAAAATGTATGTAAATATTGATTTGTATCCTCACATGTGTGAAACAGAAAAATAAATAAGAAATACATAACATCTTAATCTCTACATCCAACGGATCCTAAAAGAAACACCACACCGTGCAGTATCGTCTTCTCGAAGCAGACATCGACCGCAGGCGTACCATCCTAGAATGTCAGGGTATTGCAATCCCCCCTGTCACCAGCTGCCCGGCAGGATATCACCCTGAAATAGGTGCGCTCCTCAGAGGTGAGAACCGCATGGTAGTTGGTGACTTTAATGCGCACCACGATCGTTGGCATTCAAGCCTGTCGAATGATCGTAGGGGAACACACTTGGCTGAGCAGATAGACGATTCGACATTCTGCACAATGAACGACGACGCACCCACCAGCATTACAGGATTATGGGCAGCTGCTGTACCTCGCTAGTCCTAACAATTGTCAGCGCTGGTCTGATAAATAGCATAAAATGGCGACCTATGCTGATCTTATTAGCATCAGACCATCGGCTTATCTGAGTGGTCGACATTCGTCAGTAATCATTAGGGACAAAACTAGCAAACCGAGACAAATTAGCTTTCTCGCTTCTTCACTGAACGGAGCCTAACCCTCTCCCCTACAAAATCCTCAGCTACGCTTTTTACCACTTGGACGAAGGAGGTCAGACTGCAACTGGGTATTCACGTCGATGACGACCCAATTCCGACTGTGTGTAACTTTCGACAGTATACTCTCCTTCTCGCTGCATACAACCGCGGTTGTCAACAAAGTACAAAGCCGCAACCTGGTCCTCAAGTCGCTAGCCGGCAGCATCTGAGCCAAAGACAAAGAAACGTTGTTGGCCAACGTATAAGGCAATTGGCTGGCCGGTCCTGAACTATGCAGCGCCTGTGTGGTCGCCGGGGACTAGTGGGACGCAGTGGGTGAAGCACTTAGGACAGCGACAGGATGCCTTCTGATGTCGTCGCAACATCACCTGCACGACGAGGCCCACATGCTCCCGATTAAGGAGCTCTGAATACAATGCTCTGAAACCAATTCCTAGTAGGGTGTCACCGTCGTGGGTAACCCCGTATGGGTACAATATCGGTAGTTTTCCGACACTAGTGTTCATTCCTTTCAATAAATCGTTATTGCATGGGTTCGCTCCGATCTGTTTCGAGTTATCCAGTTCCTCTTTCCGAGGTCCTTACAGCGATTAAACTCTACTAAGAGCGACATAGGCTTGAGCATTTGCGAATAGCTTTTATCCTTTATGTACTGTTGATGACTGGCAGCATTCTCCTTTCAGTAATTAATAAATTAATTATGGAGTTATGTATTTCTTTTCATATAAGTACGCAATACACGATCCAATTATGTACATATGTATGTGTATAAACCAAATCAGACTATAAATACGGGTTTTGCAAATAGCTCGACTCCTCCGTCGCCTAGCGGATTAATTCATCTTTCAAACTAGTCGCGATCCCGTACGAGAATTAGAATTAGTCAGATTTTACTGGAAATCGATCCCGTACTTACTCGGTTCTCTGACTATTGAGAGGAGAAAAAAGAGAGTAAATAAGGTCCGTTCTATCTCTGTCAGAAGCTGCCCGTCTTATAGCTCAGTTATGCATACTTTGCACTGCTATGCCATTTTTACGTAGAAATAAAAACCCAACAGACTTCTACATACATATCGCTTTTAAAGTACAAAACCGCGTATCAACAAATTACAAAACCGCGTAGGTGAGGTTGCATAAATTATTTTCTAGAGTAAAAACAAAATGATTATCTTTTTATAAAGCAATCGCATTTCTGGCTAGTATATTTCAGAACGAATGGATAAGGATTGAGCCCAGCGCTTGAGTGAGTAAATCCAATTTATGGCAACAAATGTCAGTTACGCGGTTTTGTACTTTAAACGACGATATGTGATACTGTGCGTTGAGTAACCGCTTACAAGCAAAGTTCATTTAACAATTTCCTTATGTGACAACTCTCGTGCAACGCCAAGTAGAGTAAGAGGTAAATGTGTCAAACGATCAGCTGTAGTGTGTTTGAAAACGAAATTGTAAACAAGAGAAAAGTGCACTCTGCTAATGCATGTTGAAAATGAATTAATACTCATCATTTAAGTGGATTCTAATGAATTTGAAATTATTTTTGGTTATTTACATGTATGAGCTGAGTGTGTTTAAATACAAAATAAGCAAAAACTTACAACCAAAATTTGGAGGTTATGTTGAAGTTGTCAGAAGTCACGACTTATTACTAGAAAGCGATCCCGTACTTTTCAGTGTTATTTTCTAGATCTGAGCGAACTTTTATTTTTTGAAATGTTTTACAAATTTTAGTACGAGGAATGCGGGATTGGACCTACTGCATTGTCTCGGGTTCTGGGCAAAGTTTCAAGTCTCTAGCTCATCGCGAGGTTTGTTAAATATTGATTGCAAAATCCCAGGACATACATACATACCGTCGCTGGCATAATGAAGTAGTGTAACATGAAAAGTGTAGTTTTGGAGAAAAACGAATTAAGTAGAAGTTTTTATAATCCAATCGACCAAATTTAATCTTTAATTATGCGCTTCTGCCATATTAAACAAAACAAGCTAAATCCTTTTCTCGGATAAACAACGCATAATTTACGGATAAACAAGGGATGTAATTATTTAGTAAGTAAGGTGTCCTACTATCTTCCACGGAAGTTAGCTGAGCACGCGATATTCCTTTAAATATGTACGGGGAAAATGATTCTTTTCACGGATAAACAACGGATAATTTACGGCAAATTATCCGATAGGAATTTTCGCTTTGGGAAAAAGTTGTCCTGCCAACTTCAGAGGTCGAGCAACTTGGGTCCGGTTCAGTTATTTGTGCAATGATTTTCGGTTGTTGTGTCCAAACGCATAACCCGAATCTAAAAACTTCAACATACACGTGTAATCAAAGGATTACACTTTATTTTAAGACAAATGTTTCAAATTTCCACGGACTAGTTTATTAATAAATTTGCTTTTCACTATACACTTTTTTTAAATTTCGATGTGAGTTCTATGCAAACATACTGTGGATGGCGTAGCCAGAGTTATATGCACAGTAAATGTTGTATGTGTACCTTTGACATGCGAAGAGGGGCTTTCGCCGGCAACACAGAAGGCAGAATTCTACTTAGTAAGGGTTATAATCCCTAAGCGCGGACGAAGGCAGAAGCCAGTGTAACAGGTGGTGGGTGGACTTAACAAAGTGCATGTTTTCAATGGCTTGGAAGAAGCTGTTATTGCATTAACTGAATTGGGAACCAGTTCTTCAGGCATAGGAGGAGTTATGGCTTGTGGTTCAACAAATTCAGCCAGGACATCTGACATATGTAGATGCGTCCATGGTTACTATGCCATACAGATCCGCATACCTTTGTGAATCTATTTATATAGCGCGCTCTTACTCCGCTGCTTTATTTGCAAATGCAATATAATCCATCATTCCCTTCAAAATATGTAAACTCAAAAATTTTTACTATCAATAAATAAGCACTTGATGAGTGTTTTTAAATCCTTTCCGCTTTGTTTTCCTTCATACTGCTGTCGAAAAACAAACTGATAGCAGGCAATGCTGCACTTGTTTCCGCATGTGGATTTTTTGTTTTTCGTGGATACGAATTACGAATTACGAAAATTCGGGTTTTAGAACAAAAGTCTGATTATGGCAACTTAACTTAGCTTAACGGAACATAGCCCTTAGAAAATCAAAATTTAACAGATTCGACGTGGCATTAAGTTACGTTAAGTTTCGGCTATTCAATTATATGCAACATCCATTATTTAAGTTGCCACAATCAGACCATAAGGGTGTAAGTTTCTTCGCTCTTTTGCGAAATTTTGGGGTTATCTTATACGTGGTATTGCCAGGGACATAACAGTTATACGTTTTATCGGAAAAACGTTGTCCCACAACAGTTATTAGATGAGAAATATTTTTTTATTTCGCCGATAAAAATTATAACCCAACCGTTACTTTTAACATTGGCTGATAACTGTTATGCAGGAATAATAGGATTTCCGTCGCTAATTAGAGTTATTTCCGAACGTTTATTTTTTGTGTTCCTTGATAACAGCTATTTCCCAACGTTCATTTTTTACGTTGCTTGATAACAGTTATTGCCCAACGTTTATTTTAACGTTGTCTGATAACAGTTGTTTCACCCCTCGACTTTTGTTTTCATCATCTTTATCTTCTCCATCTCCATTTTCGTCATTATTCGTATCTTACAACCTTTATCAAACAACGTAAAAAATAAACCTTGTGTTACAACTCTTATCGGCGAAATAAAAAATGGTTTTCATCTAATAACTGTTATGAAATAACGTTTTCGTTAAATTTTAGAATTCGGGCAAAGTTTTCAATTTGTAAATTCGTTATTTTTGGTCCCTGGGTATTGCATTTGGCGGATACGAGATATTGCGCGCCAAGCGACGATATATTTTTTGTAGGTACTTAATTATGACTTGTCAATATTAACAAGTAATTTTTAGCGAAAAAAAACCGACTTCAACTCCCTTATAAAAAAAAATATATATATATATATATCTCATGATCCACTGATCGGATCTCAACCAGATTAGTATGGGACCACCTCTGAGACACTACCTTTCCGATGCAAAAAGAAATCGGTTGACGTGGTCCAAAGTTATGCATACATACATACATAAAAAAAAAAACATTAACATATTCTTCTCTGCAATTAAACAAACCCAGAATTACATACTAAAGACAAAATTACAAAGCACTTCTTCACTCAGTATATTTGACATACCTAACCGAATCTCGTTGCATTTAAAACAAAAAATATAGGTTCCGTCCGAAACATGGAACAGATAAGCTAAAAACTTTCTTTAACGGTTAGGTATATTGTTTTATTTTTAATACCAAAAAATAAATAGCTTTTGGCACCACTTTAATAAATGGCACGGTTATTTTCGGTCTCTGTATTTGAGTTACTATCTACATATTTATTTTGTTCATTGTTAATTATAAACTGGGTACGGTTTAGTTATTTGCCCAATGATCTTGGGCTATCATGGGTGACCCGATCCAAAAAATGTTTACGCACACTTGGAGCCAAGGGTCTAAAAATTATTTGAAAAGAATGCGTTCTAAATTCCGAGCACTAATTTATTAATAAATTTGGCTTGAAATGTGGACTTTTTTGTGAATTTCGGAGCGGGTTCTTCGCAAAATTACATTGGATCGGCCAAAGGCGGCCGACGCCGCAGAAAGTGTTCTGCTTAATTAATATCGTGGCCAGCGTAGCCGGACTTGGACTGATGAGGGGGTTTTTAAGCGCGGCCGAATGCGTAAAACGACGAAACATTTTCTCTGTCAAAATGCTAATTTTAACCCATTTTCAAGTGGTGTAGGTATAAGTTTTTATAAAATTTAAACTGTGCTCTCGTGGGGTATCAAGAGCCACACCCCCTCCTTCTCCGCCCATAAATACATAGTGGGCACCATAACTAAACATTCCGCTATAAACTGTATGGCCATTTTTTGAGTTATGACGTTCTTTCCGTAATTGAGATATGTAAGTATGTACATACATACATATGAAATAACGAACTTTGATAGCAGATTTTATTTATGTATTTTGATGTTCTCTGCTTAACATATTTTCGTTGTTTTTTTATTCAAATTTAATACATTATTTAAATCCAGTTATATTGAGTTGCTTTGCTTGTTATTTATCTTCAAGTAAATGGGTTGTATGTATCATTTGCATTTCCTTCAGGTATTCTGCAATACATATTATGTGCATTTATAGTTCTCAGTTATCCATACATACATACATACATACATACGTACTACATATAAATATTCACATACTTATTTCACTATTCACTTTGTTTATAACCGATGACATTTTTGGTGCGTTGGCAATATGCACTACGTTCTTTGTTTAATGTGAAAGAAAACAAAATCTACATGAAATTGTATTGTGGCATTTTCGCGCGTAGTATCACACTCTTTTTCACTGTTGTTTACATACATACATACATACATATGTACAACCGCACACGCTCGTCCACTTACGTTTCGAGGCATTAGCCAATATAGGCGGCACTACTACGTGCTAAACACATCCGCACTCCGATAAATTCACTGACTATCTGCTCTCTATCGGCTTAACAAATATGTTAATTTTCTTCAATTTTATATTTTAGTATTATTCCCGAAATGTATTTTCCGTTGTTTTCAACAAACACCGTCATAAAACACTTCCAAACCTTGCGAAATCGATAAACGACTAAAGCACTACTCCGCAGTGAAATGAAATTTCTCAACTGCTGAGCTGTTCTGCGCTCAGTCTGCTTTAGTTCGGCGTAGAGCAGCGCAGCTGAACGCAAGTTAACGCGCGCGCGGCACAAAACAATACACAAATAAACAACAGAATTGAACTCAGCGATGTGTGTGGATGGATGTATGTGCAGTGTACAGCACGCATTGAAGCTATGGCAGCGTAGCGTAGCTGGGTTACCGTCAACGTCGACGCTCGCAGCGGCAGCAGCGCATTCGCTTGTGGTGGCCAAGACCGAGACCAAGGGATGATGGTGCGTTGTTGACAGAAATGAATGAAACCAAACGTACGTTTGCTTAAAGATGTGCGTGTGTGTTGGGGAATGTTGATAAAAAAAAAAACAACAATAAAGTAGAAACATAACAACATTCGGCACGAATATTTATTCAAGAGAGCAGCGACCGAACGCAGACAACGACCAAACTACGAGGCGGCGGCCGAACACTGTGGCCGTTGACTGATTGCTTTATCGTAGGAAAAACGAGGTGCAAAGGACACGGTTGCGAGCAGTGTTGCCAGCAGAAGGTTTTCAGCAATCCAACTAAATGAACAAAAAAAAGAGCTAAAAACAGATAAAAAAAAATTGATAGGCTAAAAAAAGCTAAACAAGTAACGGCAACTATTCAAATGTTTTATTAGTTTTTCACAAAAAAAACAACAAATAGGTACATATTTTCTTGCACCCATTAACAAATTTAAGGTTATTTGCATGATTCATATTCAATATGTTAGTGATGAACATAGCATCACAATAATCGATTATTTGTCCCCTCAAACAGAGCTAAGGGCGCATACATACAGTATAAGTAAGTATCGCTTTTTACAATTTTGTGAAGATTAATTGTTTATTCGTACAATATTTTCTAATTGGATTTTTGGATCCTACATTTAGAAAAAAATCTAGAAAGAGCTAAAATATTTTCAGAAAAAACATAAAAAAAAGCTAGCAGATAAATTAGAATTTTTCTAGCTAAACGGTCAATAGGTCAAATGGCAACACTGGCTGCGAGTAGCTGTGACCGGTATTGTTGTGGTGTGATGAAAGCAGTAAAAACAAAGAAAAATCAGCAATAACAACAGCTACAATTCAAAAACGTTCAAATGTATAATTGTGTAAGTGCGAACAGAGGTGGGCGGTAAAGAAGCCCATATGCCCCCTTTGCTTTGTTTGAATGTAGAATTGAGGCAAGCACGGTCATCTAAATGTTTATGCGTAGATATGATTGCATGCAGGAACTGAGTATGAATGTATGTAGGTATCATCTACTCAGTATATGTATGTATGTATGTATCAGCTATCTACTTATTTATGTACAAAAGTACGTATACGTAGATAGTATGTATATACATACATACATACATACATTCAAGTATATTTCGTTCGCAATAATGAGCTGCTATTGTGAAATTGTTATTGTTGCATGTTGTTTACTCGAGAACAATAACAATAAACACAACAACACAAACAAACGTAGAGCGCACAAACAAGTGCTGGCTTGGCGGCCGAAGCGAACGCCAGCATTAGCGCAAGTAGAGATACGCTGCCATAGCTAGCGTCACCACCACTGTACACTGTACAGTGTACACAGGCAGGCGTTCGTTTGCGGTTGTTTTCACAAAAATGAACGTCGCAATGGGTGTGCGTATGTACATACATACATACATATGTAAGCATTAGCTATAGCTGACTACTTTTTATTATGAGTACAAGTATACCAGCCCCGTCTGACTCACCACACCGCGACGTCGTTGTTGGCCCCACTTTAACGACGCACGTACACAAATGCATTCACATCGCCAGCCAAACAAACAAATACAATGTGCAAGGGAATAGCAAAAAATGTACAAACAACAGACGGTAGCGGTTCAACGGATTTGGCGGTAGTGCCGCGGCGGGGCCGCTACGGAAGGCAGTGTTGCCATTTTAGTGATTTTACCACTAGATCTAGCGATTTTATTTTCTACTTAGCGGGAAAAATTATAATTCGGTGACTAGCGGGATTTTTAGCGTTTTTTTTCACGAGATCTTAGCTAGTTTTTAGCAATTTTATTTATAATGATCGCAATTCTTTATAGGTTTACAACTTCGTTGAAAGCGCTTAATTGAAAGGCAATTTACACAACTTTCAACCAAAAGTAGCCCCTAAAACCGTCGTATGTACGTATAAGTAAGTGCGCCTGCACCACACTGTAGAAGTGAAACCTACGTTACATACATATCTATTTTGTCATAACCAATATACATACATACATACATCTGCTTTTGCTTAAGGTTATATTTTTCAGGGACGTGAACCGGGTTTGAACCGAACCGGTTTTGAACCGGAAAACCGCTCTTTTCTATTAATTAACTGAACAATTAAATAACCGAACCGAAATTTTCCACAACTGTTTGATCCGAACCGAAAACCGAACCACTTTCTATAAAGAATGAAAGGTTCGTTTCAACCAATTTTCAAAAGATAAATGTACCCACTTTTTTTCTTTTCGGTAAACATGGTAATACCATGTGACAATATCAAATGTAAAGGCAACCCATTTCCTTTGACAGAAACTTGACCCTCAACCATGCGCGTTGTTGCACTTGACACTTGACACTTAAACTTGCGCGTAGTTTTTTTTGTTTTTCGAACCGGTGAACCGAACCGAAACTACGGTTCAAAGACCAAAAAAACCGCTTTGACGAACCAATCCAAAAGTGCAAAAACGGTTCGAACCACTGAACCGAACCGACCAAATTTTTCATCCGGTTCACGTCCCTGATATTTTTTGTCTTTTTTCTATCTAGATCCCTACCTCTACCTCTGTTCGTTCTAATTACATTTATGTTATTCTGTTTTCCATTATCTTAGTTTTTATCGTTATACTCTATCGATAACAAAAGCGATAAAAGTTTCGATAGCGAAAACGACACCAATATTAGTAGCAAAATCTATTAGAAACTCGAAAAGAATATCCATAATAAAATCGATAAAAACATCGATAAAAATATCCAAAATAAAATCGATAAATATCGATAACAAAATCGATAAATATCGATAACAAAATCAATAAATATTGATAACAAAATCGATAAATATCGATAACAAAATCAATAAAAATATCGCTAATAAAATAGTTAAAAATATCGATAAAAATATCGATAGCAAAATCGATAAATATCCATAACAAAATCGATAAAAATACGGATAACAAAATCGATAAAAAATATCACTAACAAAATAGTTAAAAATATAGATAACAAAATCGATAAAAATATCGATAACAAAACCGAAAAAAATATCGATTATTTTATCGACAAGTCCCGAGAATTCCGAAAATTTCTAAAATCCCAAAATAATTCCCAGATTGAGTCTCTGTGTCTCTCTCTATATCCTTTCCTCTTTAATTACCTATATTTTAATCGTTCTTTCCCCATCTTCATCTTTACCTTTATCGGTATCCTCATCTTTCTCTTTGTCTTTACTTATATGTTTATCATTTATATATGTATATGTATAAGTAAAGTGTTTAAATTTACCTTGGCCCTCATTTTTGCCTTTATCTTTACGCATCTTTGTTTTTATTTTTACCTTTGCCTTTATCCTTTTCTTTATCAATGTACGTAGTCACCTTTACTTTCATTCTTGTATTGGCCTTTTTCTAAGTGTTATTCTTTAACCTTTTATTAGCAAATTTTTGTTAAATTACACACAAGGAGCAGTTGTCTCAGGCCTAACCATTTCCGTTGCACCTTTTCCGTTGCATCATTTCCGTTGCACCATTTCCGTGTGCAATTTCCGTTGAATTTGCCAATTTACTCCCAACCAACCAACCGCCGCTACAGAAGTTTCACTTCAAAAATCGATAGGACACTCAATCGTTACTTGCCGTCACTAATTTTTGACGTTTCTAACTATTTTCGCTTTTTCAACATTGCATCAAAATACTTCTGCAATGCCAAAAACCTACACCAAAAAAAAAATCCGCGAAGAGTGAATTAAACATCCTGAGTTAAACAACTGGATTGTGGAAGATTTGAATGATTCCAAGAAAGCATTGTGCAAGTATTGCAAATGCAGTTTGACCTGGACGTTACACGACTTCTTCGCAGCGTCATCCAATACGGGTTTTAAATCTAGTGGCGGCATCTCCCTAGTCGCCAAGGAATACCGAGGGATCATACAGTGACTTTTTTCTGCCTCTTGCTTGCTTGATCCTAGACATCGCCCCTTTCGTTTTTCCAACCACTGCAAATATCCGCACACTTGCTCCATTTCAAACCATTTTTTTGTACAAATTTGTCGATAGCTTTAAAAATTTCGTCAATAGGGGTGCAAGTCTCAAGTACTTCGCTCATAAAAAGGTCTTCTCCGATTTGCATTCCGAATGGATACCTCAGTAACACGCGAAGCACATTAAGTCCCACTACGTCGGTACTTTCGGCAAGTTGCAAAAAAAAAAAAATTCACAAGTTTTCAAACTTTTTATAAGTTCGTTCTCGACTGCCTCTAAAATCGTGTTAATTCGCTCTTTCACAGTGAGATTGTGAAGTTCCAAAGATAATATCATTTACCGTTTAAAAGCAATTCAAATCTTATCTTACAAATGTTTAAATTTTACACTAAATACGATTACCACTTCTCAAAGGCTTTATTTTTAAATTAACTAAATTTTAGTGAACATATACATATTTATATGTAAGTATTTTAAAAATTTTTGATGTCCTTTTGTCATCTGATTATTTTACCTTTCTGAAAATGGGGTAAAATTAGCATTTTGCCAGAAAGTGTAAACTCGGGCTACTCAGATTTACGCGCAGAAAACCTTTCCGTGTTGGAGGCCTTCGGCCGCAATTAGAAAACATAACCCTAATCTGCCCAACTCCGGCTACACAGTATTTTTGTTTTTACAAAAAAGTGCATACTCCACACGGATTTTTTATTAACAATTTAGTGTTTTTATTTGGGTTACGCGTGTGGACAAAATAACCCAAAATCATTGTACAAATAACCGAACCATACCCAACAAAAGACCGCTAGCTTGTTCAAATCTCGATTCTAAGAACAAAATGCTTTAAATAAACAAAAAATTAATAATAAAATTTGAAGGATTTTAGCTATTGGATATGGTAGCACGAAATGTCACAATCTGCTTAATTGCCAGGTTGTTAATATGCCGACGAAAAAGTGACAATGGAACTACCTTCTTTTTTGTGTATAATGGTAAAACCATTCTCTCAATTCGTCGGTCATGATTTTTTTCTGAGGTTTGCAAACATTTTAAAATCATATAAAATTGAAAATAAAAAAATGAAATTGTTCACAATTGTTGTTGTTTCCCACTGGGAAAATAGGTAAGCACCTTACGAGGTAAGCCATGTTTTCCTTCAGTTTTTAGTACCAAAATTGTCATCATGGCCATCAATGTTAAAGTGAGGGAGAGGCTTACCTCGTAAGGTGCCTACCTACATATTTTCTCAGTGGGTTGAGATTAAAAATGAGAATGTGTGTGTGTGAGCTTGAGTACGAATTTTAAAATTATATTGCTGGCAAACGTCAGACTGCCTCTCAAAGATTTTACCTTGTAATGTTTTTATCATGCTTTGTCCTATCATTTTCAAATGCTCGTAGCTCAGGGACATTTTTTTTTCGTAAAATAAAAAATACGTGTCTCTTTATTTGCCCTAAAAACATGAAAAATCATATTAAATTTGATTCCGAATTTTTACCCACTCACCCTGCATGAATTGGAATAGAATCCGCCTATAGTGACACGATCAATAGATTTTTTAGTTCGAACCTCTAAAATTACTTCCCTGGGCACGGGTCTGGGTTAGGCAAAATGAATTCTAATCCTTTTTGATATACGTACATATGCACATATGTATGCACGTATGTGCGTTTGTATGTATGTATGTATGTATGCATGTCGTTTATTAAGCAAACGGGCGATCTTCTAAGTAATTACTGCTTTCAGACACCCGCCGTACGACGATAAACCAGCAGGTTTATTGAATTTTCACCACATCCATTTTGTCATGGGGGTTTTTGTCAGGTACGGTCTTTCTGAAAAAATTGTGTGTTTTCAAAATTAAAAAGTATTACTTATTATTGTTTTGAACGCTATATACATACATATGTACATACATACATACATACGTATGTTAAAAAAGTAAAATAATTGAATAAGCCGAAAATGAAAGCGGAGTGGTCGAAAGCGTTTATTATACGGCCGCGGGACAATCTACAGTCTCATGTCTACATAAAACAGAAGAAATTTGTGCCCTCATACGAGAATGACGTAAGTTTCCAGAACTTAACTTTATTCAGCAAAAAAAAAAACAATTTTTTAACCGTTTTATATTTGTAGCCTTGCCCTGTACCGATGAACTGGCTGATGGGTTGGGAGTACGCGCGCATCTGGTTGCGCGAGCGTGATGATTATATTTGCGAGCGTCTGCGCAAATCCAAAGCAAAACGAATTAAAAACGACTATACAGGATGGCTAGCAAAACGGCAAATTAAACCTAAAAAAGTTAGCTAACCAAGCATTCTAATGGATCGATCCCACTGGAATCTAATATATTTTGTTTGTAGAACCTTAAGACTGCTTTCCTAAACTGATGCATTTCACAAATCTTTACTAACTATTCCGTTTCGTACAAAAAAAAATTAAGTATAACGATTGCTTAAATTTTCCAAAATTATTGTTAAGTATATATGTATGTATGTACCTTTATATGGAAACGCCCTATCTAACATTTTTGGTTCCTAACTTTTTAAAAACCAAAGTTCTCCGGTTGTGAATTTTATCAAAACCCCGGGTTTTTTTATAAACACTGGTGGGTCGTCTACTTACTTTTGTACAAATCGGAATTTCGAAAGAAAATGTGTTAGGGCCTTTCTATAAGAAGTTCTTGGAATGAAACATAAAATTTTATGGTTATATACAAATTTTGATTTTCTTTTTTTAATTAATTTGAATATAATTTTTTAAAAGGAGGCAATTTTTTTCAAAAAAGTAAAACCTTATTGCACACCTACAGTCCGAGTCATTTTTTGACACCTCATTTTGGAAAATCGAACGAACCGTGCGGATTTTATAGCATTGATTATTATATGTATAATACAAGTTTCACAATTTTTCGAAATTCGAATTATTTTAGAAAGTCAGTTCTATTACATACATATATCTTAGCTCCCTTAAAATAATTATACGGCTATAGTAAAATGAGGGCAAAAATACGAATATAATAAAATATTTTAAAATTGCTTTGCATATTTGTACAAAAAACGTGGTGTGAAACCCGCGGGTATAAGCTAGTTTGATATAAAAACGTAACTACCCTTATAATGAACTAAGTTTATTATAAAATGCCTTCATTCCGTTAATATCGGCTTTCCCAAAGTGGCTGCCGCGGCACCCTGGGTTACCGCTAGTGGCTAGAGTATACTAGTGGTGCGGGGCAAATTCTTTAAACTTTCCATACACAACGCAAGCGGTTTGATCAAACTTCAACATGGCGAAGTTTGATTTTTATAAAAATTACCTTCAGCGGCTCGTCAAACCCCATGATTCAATAATACAAGGTTGGATAACCTGGCAGTTGTCTCGCTCCCGCATTCTGCCTTAACCTGTGTTGCCTTCTTTTTTGATTTGTAGAAACTACTACTAAAATACAAGGAGAAATATTGTCTTCGTATAAAAAGTTCAACAGGCAACACTGCCGATATTTTCATCGATTGTTTCGTGGAAATTCATTTTCTTATTGGGCAAATTCAAGTAAGTATGGCAAAAAAATGAAAAATAATGGAAATATTTTGAATTACAACAATAATTTACATATTTATTTGCAGGGTATCGGAGTTATTCATAATTTGTATTCAAAATGTAGCGTTTTACAACAAGTGCAGCCGTTGCAAGTAAGTTTTGCATGCTAGGATCCCTGTGTGTCCGTCCACGTATGGCTGGTGAAGAAAATACAAATATTAATAAATATATTCTCTTGTTAAGGTCAGGATCATTTCGGTGTCCGTCCACGTTTGCTGGTGCATGTATATTTACCACTGCAGCGTTTGGGTTGGTCAAGTGCAGCCTTTGCATATTTACAAGTAAATATACCACTCCATAAAAGCGAAAGTGGAAATATTAATAAAGATATTTTCTTGTGCTCATTGGGACTGATTGCAGAAAAAAGTACACAACATTACAAAAAATTAACATTTTTAAAAAACGAAATGTAATTAAATTGCGATATTGAAGGCATATTTTTTAAGTTTAACCGATATACAAGACTGATTGGAGAAAAAAGAAAAAAATATTCCGCAAAAATTAGATTTTTAAATAACCAAATTTAATTAAATTGCGGTATTGAAAATATAACTTTTAAATGTAACCAATATAATGATTAGCAAGACTGATTGGAGGAAAAAGTAGAAAACGTTACTAAAAAATTTAAATTAAAAAAACCCAAATGTAATTCAATTTAAGATATTGAACATGTAATCTTTAAATGCAACAAATATAATAATTTTTAAAAGATTTATTTATATGCATTAAATCAATTGCATCTTTACTATTTGTATAATTCTGCATATAGTCCCTTTGAAAAAAGGATTTGTTTGAATTCCATTAATTTTGTTTAACATATACTGGAATTTCAATGAAACCATGGTTTATTTTGAATATTTGGGAACATTTCTTCAAAGATTTCAAAGATTTTTCTTTGGCAAGAATTTTATGTGAACATCCATTTATTTCATTTTTAATATTTATGTGGCCATAAAAAGTTAATTTATTGTCTATTGTGCAGATCAGTGGAATCTTCTTTATATATTTAATTCAATTTGTACATAAAAACGCATTTCAGCACTACCAGACTACTTACTTTTCCTACTACATTTTCACAAAAGGAGATAAAATTGTTACCCGCTTCTCTTTCCTTCTCAAATGCAACCTTACAAGGCAGTCGATTGACACAAATGTCAATATTTATCCAACCTTGTATTACTGAATCATGGTCAAACCCCATACACAACACAAATGGCTTGCAGCAAAGGGATATTTCGCTTGATTTGTTAAGCCGCTTGTGTGGTGTATTTCGCTCTTAAGCGTAGTTCCCCAGTACGTTTTGACAACGAATAATTGAATCAAAAATTTTTCAGAAAAATAGCCGAAAAAGTACCCTTTTCGCAACCATTTTAGGTACTTTGGTAGACCTAATCTGCCTGTGTCGATGTCTAGGGTGAAGCAAGAGGCAGACAACGCCACTGCATGATCCGTCGGTATTCCCTGGTGACTAGGAAGATGCCACCACTAGATTTAAAACCCGTATTGGATGACGCTGCGAAGATAAAGATAAATATTAAAATACATCTTTGGTTTTTTTTTCTAGCACGTCGAGGTTTTATTTGTTGGTGACATGTATATTTTAGAATTTCTAGCAATTTCCATGCAAACCCCATAAATAAACAAAGTAATCAGAAAAACATATGTAACTTCGAAGTTAACGCTAACGCTAAGAAAATTGATAACAGCCGTTTTCACCAGCAATTTATATGGAGAATGCATTTTTATTTTCCATATGAAATTAAAAAAATTAAAAAAATTTTCACTTATTGGCTGTAAAAGTTATTTTCTTAGTGTTAACGCGCATTACCAGCGTTAACTTGGAAGGTTTAGAAAAAATCATCGTCGAATATTTTCCCAACATTGACTCTGACTTGATGTCTACAGCTAGATGACAAACCCGTTTTCATGTGACCTGAAAATTAAACCTACTGAGATGACAAATTAAGCTTTTGAAAACCTTCTGGACATCAGCGAAGACAGCACTTTGAATATTAAATACTACAAAGGGGGCCAAGAGAGTTCTGAGAGAACACTGTTGTTGGCAAGATTGCATTAAAAATACTAGTGACTTTTACTTTTGCATTTCTATGTGAGACTGCATTTTCAACAAATGCTTACATAACATAAACCAGTAATTTTTAAGCAAAAAACACAACCGACTTCAAGTCTCATATAAAAATTTAAGATTATCGTTAATCTCTTCATGATTCAATAATCGGATTTGAATCAAATTAGAATGGGACCACCTGTGAGGTAACATCTTTTCCTTAAAAAAGAATTATAGTAATCGGTTGACGTGGTCCAAAGTTATGTGGTAACATTCATAAAAAAAAATAACAATAAAAGAATATTCCGACGAATTGACGACCTTCTCCTTTTTGTGAAGTCGGTTAAAAACAAATACACCAGCAAGCTTTCAGCGTCAAATGATTTCAGGGTAAAATTGTCAAAGCTCCCAATAAACTTAAAGGAAATAATGAAATCACCAAAACAATTTCAGTCCTCACATTAAAGCTAAAGGGGCATCATGATTCAATAATATAATAATAATATCATGATTTAATAATTATTATTGAATCATGAAGGGGCATAAAGTTGGCATTGTGTTTTCTTGTTTTCGTAGACATTTGAAGAGTAGGGGTGCCGTAAAATTTTTTAGCACCACAAGGGTGCCCCTTTGGTTTGGGAAGCACTGCTTTAATAGATAATACATCTCAATAATCAAGGAAGCAAGATAATTAAAACAAGTAAGAAAGTCTAAGTTCGGGCGGAGCCGAACATTAAATACCCGGCGCAAGTATTAAATATATGTTTTTCACCTTTCCGAAAGCTACCGCTACATGGTAAGCCGGGGTGTATCAATTTTGAGTAAATTAGCGTCCTTAAATTTCGAAATATTGAAATTTCAAGCATTTCTGAAATTTATTGTTATATGAAAAGCGGCCGTAATTTTAGTCCGATTTCAATAATTTTCAACGTTTTGCTTTTATGTGGCAAGCACAATAAAAATACCGAGTTTGGGACAAATTGGGAGAACGGTTACCGGGATACATATATGTATGTGATCATAAGTGGGCGGTGCCACGCCCATTTTCCAAAATTTTCTCATAAACGTATTTCTTGGTAAAGAGTTGTTGCAAGCGTCAATTTTGAATAAATTAGCTTTAATATTTACTGATTTATCGAAGATTTTGTATTTCTCTAAATTACCGTTATATGGGATGTGGGCGTGGTTATGGTCCGATTTTAACAAAATTTCAGCCATTTGGTATGCTGTACCAAGGCCAACAACTGTGCCAAGGTTGGAAGAAATTGGTGCGGCGGTTACCAAGATATACACATGTAACCATAAGTGGGCGTGGCTACGCCCATTTTTCAAAAACGCATAATCTTATTTCTCGTCTAAAAATTATTATAAATATCAATTTTGAGTGAATAATCTTCAGCGGTTACTAAAATATCGCAGTTTTCGTATTTCTGAAAATTACCGTTATATGGGAAGTGGGCGTGGTTACAGTCCGACTTCGCCCATTTTCAATACCAACCTACATTGGATTAATAGAAACCTACATATAAAATTTCGTTGAGATATCTCAATTTTTGCTCGAGTTATCGTGTACACGGACGGACGGACAGACGGACAGTCGGACGGACAGACAGACATGGCTTAATCGACTTCTCTATTCATTCTGAGCATTTATGTATACATTTGTCCGTATCTATGTCGATTCGTTTTGGCTGTTACAAACAACCGTTATGTGAACAAAATGAATTTACCCTTGTGCACAAGTGCGCTCGGGTATAAAAATACGCAAAATATGAAGTGATACATTTTGTGACCAGAGGTGTAGGATACCCCCGGATAAGTCCAAGTGGTTTGAAGTTACCGGCGAATCGTGGTTGTAGATAACATAAGATGTCCCAGTTTCTCATCGCACCAAGAAAATTTGAGCTTTCCACGTTCGGCAAAGGCAGTCCAAGTCAATGGCGTGCGACATCTGCGTTGCCTTAACACCGTTTGCCTTATTTTCACCACAGCTATTTGCAAATTTTCATAAAAACTTTACGATCTGATTTTGAAAGCTTTTGAAGCAAACAGTGTAACGAAGAGTTCACCATATTCGGCTCGGTGGTGGTGACGATGATAAACGATAAAATGAAAATATTCTACTAACAGAGTTGAGCGAGCACATTACACATTGCATATGGACATTCGCAGTTATATATGTATGTATGTATGTATATGTATGTTCCGATTTTGCAAGCTTTTTCTTGGCTTAAAGAGTTGCTGAGAATCCATGGGCAGCGTACCGGCAAGAGAAAATGACATGCGAAGAGGAAAATTGTTGCCACTTGTCAGAGTCGCCCAACAACCACAAACAAACACCAATGCACACGCACAGCACAACCCGATGAGCATTCATACATATCTACATATGTACATATGTATGTTTTGAATGTATTTATGTATGTATGTACATGCAACGAATGCTTGTAAATAAAAGTTTTGTGTGATAGCCCCGCAGGAAAGCTTCAGCAGTGCCAATTTAATATCTATTTGGTATCTACGTATTTAGTAAGCATTACTTACTTACTTATGCATGTAAATATTAACATGTATGTATGTATGTATGTATGTACGTACATCTTCGCAAAGTAACGATTGTGCAATGCCCGTGTTGAGTAGTGGAAATTTGTGTAGCCTACAATTAAAAAAAAACTCACTGCAATTAGGAGCCAGTAGATTTTCTTGCAGGGTACGTACATATGTATATAAGTATATATGTACATATACACATATGAATGTATGCACTTACCTTAGGTATGAGTTCCATCTGGTCGGTTGTTGATTGTTGCTTTTGTTTTCATTTTTACTGCCAAAAGCTATTGTGTCGACTTTGCGCTACTCTTCATGGCGATTGTGGATATGGCCGTTGGATGTGGCAGTGGTGTATTTTGGCACAACTTGAGAGACCAGACCGCCAGCGCAGCAAAAGCATAGCTAAGCATAGATAAAACCACCAATGGCGGGGGTGCGTTGAGGGTTTATATGTATATTTTTCACCTTCCTCATGCGAAGTCAGAGTATTGTGCATTTTCCAATTTTCTCGCCGCGTCAATCAAATGAATGCCGTGTCCGCTGTCGCAAGTAAATTCGGAATTTTGCACTTGTTCCAACTTGTCGCGTCGCCTCACCGCCTCCCGTCATACTGAAATCTGCATTTTAACTGGTATTTTGTGCAACGTACGTTTCAACACTATCTATCTATCGCCTTAGTGCGATGGCAATTCGATGTGTGGCTTCAAGTTGTGTTAATATCTGTAAGTTTCGCCAAAGGCTTCAGATAGTGCAGAAAATGCATTGTAAGTGAGCGCGCAGCAGAAGCGAGAAGTGCCACAGCTGTTGGACGGAAAAACGACTAGAAAGATGTGGAAAATTTGTGAAATATGTATATATGTATGTATAAAATTGAAGCCAACTAAAATCTGAAGGAAAAGTGAAAATGCAAGTGCAAATGAAATGTCAAATAGAAGAAACATAAAAGAAAACGTGAGAAGAGCTGAATAAACATTGCAAATTGTTATAAAAAAGGCCATTGAGTGCGGAAATTTGGCTGGAAAATCGAAACATATGTAAGATTTGTTCATATATATATATATATATGAATATGTATGTAACCTTTTACGTTAGATCATCGTCGTATTTATTCTGGCTTTATTCGTGCAGTTGGTTACGCTGGCAGTTGAGTGCGCGTTGGCACACCGTATTAAGTTCAAACAAAATCATTTTTAGATAAATAATATAAGTATGCTTTAGGAAATCTAGGACTGTTCAATTAGACGAATCACATAAAGAGTTAAGATACGGAATGTCATAGTGAGAGTGTCCGCAATTTGGGTGAAAATATAAGACGCCTCCACCCACCCACTTCTGGCTTATACATTTATATATATATATGTATATGCACATTGGGGTGCCCCAGAGCTTAAATTGCTTTCGTGAAACCGGCACACAGTGGTCGGAGAAGCCATGTTTACGCGAAAAAATGAGAAGGGCTTTTGATACGATTATGATAAAGCTGCAGGATCGTAGTACTGTTGTGATGCTAAATCCAAATATGCCATAAAATTTATAGTTTGACACTTGACAGCTGTCAAATCAATTGTTCATTTTTCTAAAAATAAGAAAATATTTTTTAATATAGTTTTAGACACGTCAGTCACGAATTTTTGCGTCAAATTAAAACCTTAAGGGCTGACAGTTGTCGAAGGGGCTGTCAATTTCTCTAGAAATAAGGAAAATTCCGCAAGAATTAAACATACCAGGTTTTAAGGCGCACTGAGGGTCAATTCCCGTTCTGCGTTATCGTAAAGTGAAGTGAAAAGTATATAAAATTAACACCGAAATAAATGCGGTGTAAAGGTGTTATTTTTATCACGCAACGATAACGCAGAACCGGAATTGACTCTCTGGTCTCGAGTTCTAGATCACGTTCAAACTTTTTCGGTTGACAACTGTCATATCAACTGCAATTTTAGTTTAGTAACACAAAATGAATGATTTATTATATTCGAGAGAACATATTTAAAATGGATTTACGATCAAATTATGAAATAATAGCAGTAATTATTAAATAATAACATTAACTATATTTGTAAATGGGGGACAAATGTAGACATCTGCTATACATATGTATGTTTAGCCCAAACCATTTGACCTAGGCCCCAATAGTTGTTTTTTTAAAGATTTTTTGTACTGTGGGCGTGGGTGAATCGGTAACAAAGTTCTATGGGGAAAGATGGTGAATAATATTTTTACTATGGTGAGACACTTTTGCCGCCAATCTATTGTGTGTAGGGATGGCAACGATTAATCATTTGATTAAATTAATCGATTATTTTTGTTTAATTCACGATTTAATTGTATCGTAGTTTTGTGTTTCATTAATCGATTAATTGTAAAATAATCGTAAAGTCTCTAGTTTCTAAAATTGCAAACAGCCGCAAGAATTGATCAAGTTCAGAGCATACAATGGTGTAAATAGTTGTGCATGTAAGCCCTTTGTAAAAGCTACTAATCCATTGTCATTGGGCATTGAAATTACAAAAATTAGTGCCATTTAAAAATTGCCAGGTGGAATTGAATACTGGGACGCATATTTTTTGATGCCCAATTTTTTCATTATCATTTTTGCCATTTAACGCCTAGCGGAAATCCGGCGGAAAATAAGTGTGGCCATATTACACACTCGAGCTGCACGAAGTGTTATATTTGAAAGTTGGCAAGAGATGCACTCTATTATGTATTATTTCATGTGAAATCATCATTTTCCATGTTTAAGAAGACACATAAAATCAGAAATTACTGCTATAATTGAAAGTTTCCATAAAAAAATTGTTAAGGCAGCTATCAACACATTACAGTGAGAACGTGCCACGATCGAATTCGTTGAATTAAAGGGATTCAACGGTTTGCTCTGCAGTTATTATTGAAAATACTTATCAGTTTTGAGTATGTTGGACACTTCTGAATAAGAATAGTTACATAGAAAAAAAACAAAAACGATTTAGTTGGAACAAATTGATCTTATTTTTGGGGCACCGAAATTGCATATGGAAACTGTGCATTTAGACATTATTTCGGTTTTCAACCGAAACTGTGCATATATGTATTATTTCGGTTTTTTTTCGTATGCATTATTTCGGTTTTTTTAATATGCATTATTTCGTATGCACAGTTTCCATATGCACAATTTCAGGGTGCCTTATTTTTGTGATACGGTCTAGTCTATATATAAATATATGCTTTTGTTTTTTTTTTATAAATCTGTACTGTAATGTAATGCATCTACAAGACACTGTCAGTATAGATATATGCAAACCGCTGTAGTGTAGTGGTTAGAAGTGCGCGCTACCATTCCGCAGGGCCTGGGTTTGAGCTCAGTTTTAGACCAACATCAAAAAACAGAGTAGGTCTTTCTAATAGCCGGCCCCCTTTGCAGGCAATGGCAAACCTACTTCAGCGTCGGCGTAAAACTGCATACATACATACATAGTTTTTCTTAAAATTCTCAAATAAACCATTTAAACGTTGATGTGACACAAATATAACTAGAATTTTTGGAAAAAACTTCAGAAAATTTGCATAGTATTCCAAACATTTCAGTATCTCCACTTAAAAATCGAAAAGGGTTACACCATACTAGATAGCCAAGGACCAGCCTCAGCCTCAGGTATGGTTAGTTCGCCCCTTAGATTGAAAGATCTTATGTCCCACGTCGCGATATCGTTGATATTACTCTAAATTTCAAATGGAAGCAAACGAACGAAAAAAAGTCTTGCAAAGTGGTTATTTTTCGTGCAAATAACTTTTACCAACTCCTTTGCGTGGATGTAAAACTGCAAAGTTTGGTGTCTTTGGAGCGAAGAAGTGCATCAGTTGAGATATAGTCTCGGTTTCCTGCAGGGAGGAAATGCATTCGTGTTTGTGGGCTGGAATGATGGAGTAAAATGTTGCTAGGTTCGTTGCTGTATTTATGGGTGTGTGGTGAAATTCTTTTGCAAAAATTTTAAGACTATGACTTTATATATATGTACGTACATATATATGCACATGTGTATGCACTATGGATGAATGTAGGTATGTATGTGTGTGAGGCAAAGTGGTTTACGGTGTCGTGAAACATGTTTAAGTTTGTTTTGCGACTTGCGCTCAGGAGAGACATCAGTATCTGATACGCTATTTTGAATGATGCCACCCTTTTCGACGCACCTTATGATATCTAATCACTATTATCTGGTGTCAACTCCAGAGACTTTCAAATGCAAAATAGTTCAGACTGCTTTATAGCAATGAAGCTCTGCGAGTCTTATTTTTAATCTCTGGGAATTTTTGAACTTAAAGCCTTCAACTACGGGTATTATTTTCTAAGTCTCGCAAAGCTCTTGTACGGATTGCACGGTAAAAACCGGTTTTCATATGGAAAGCTTTGCAAACCCTACTGATTAAGGTTCATTATATGTGACATTATATATGATTGATCCTTTGATTCTACTTGCGAGTCCCTTAATTAAAAACAAAAAAAATGCTCGCAAGGAGAAAGTCTTCGTAATGTACATGGGTACATAAATATGTATTTAAACTTGATGCTGCTGCTTCCACACAATTCGATTGGGGAAATGTTATAAAAGATCTGGCAACTCTTCACCTTTGGAATGCATTGTATTTGAGCATCAAACAGGTTTCGGTTTTGCTTTTCCCACATTTCGAGCAGACATTACTTGTTGTGGTACATACTTGAGCACACGCCGCCATACTTATGTACTACATATGTATGTATGTAGTCGATTCATATGTAAACAAGTGCACAACTGTTTTTTGAGGTTTTTTCATCTAAGCGAATGTAATATTGCAACAAAGCTAAAAACGCAGAACGCAGCGAGCTTAGGCGAACACAGCAAAAAGACGCAAGCAAGTAATGCTTTGCAAAACAACTACAACAACAAAGGAACATATGCGTTGTGTATCAGGGATGAAAAATGGAAATTTGGAATTTCAGATTGTATCGAATATCGTAAAATAAATGCACCTAAATGAGACAGATTGTACCTAAAAAAAAGTTACATCATTCGTATGTAGTTTTTTTTTTAATAATATTTTTTTAAATATGAATACAAATGGTGGATGTACTTTAAACTTGATTAGTTTTTTTTTTTTTTTTAACCGAGCTTGTATCTACATCCATCGGAGAAGCTTTTTTTGCCTAATTTTGACTACTGAAAAATATTGGCGAAATAGACGAAAAACACACTGCGAAATTTACTTTTTTCGAGCTTTTTCGAAAACAACAGGAAAAGTCTGCTTATTTATCCGATTCCCTTTAATAGCTGCAGCAAGTCTAGAAAAATTATGGGAATTGCCGTGAGTATATTCGAAATCAGTTTAAATATATTCCAGAAATCTAATAGCGAATCTGGGTCAACTACAGAAAATATGAAATTTTAATAAATCCTACATCCGGGACTGTATGGGCGTGTAAAATTAGAAAAAAAGTTAAAAATGTTAACATATGCGGGGAACTTTAGCTTTTATGGTTTCAATAAATTAAAAACTGCATTCCAACAATTGCAAGGGTAGAGCGTTTGTAGATTTCACACCGTCATTCGAGAGGGGAGTACATCGGTATAAGGCGCAATGGCGCAATGACGGTTTATGGACGGAAGAAATTAATCCCAATTTCGAATATAAAAAATATAACAAGAATTACGAATTTTAGGATAGCTAAGTAAAGTGTTGATTTTTTGTAGTGGCTGTTCTAAATGCAATGTAAAATGTTTAAGAGAATACATAATATGATATGATTTTGTTAATTGCTTTCTTTTGACCACTTTTTCCCATGCCGTCAAGTAAATAAAGGGAAAAAGAAAAAAAATAGGAATAAAAACTCATCTGATCAAAAGATGATTGTAGGTACCTAAAATCTAGTGATTGCACCTAATGTACCTTTGGTCAGCAAACGTCGGAAAAAGGTACAATTGTACCTATTTTTTCATCTCCGTGGTGTGTATGTAGAGCACAGCATGTCATTGCATTTGTTTTTTTTTTTATTTCACTTTTTCGTTGCACCGTGCTG